AACAGATGTCCAGAAGCGTCGGGAAACGTGCGGCTTATAACCCGGTGCGCTTTATATATGGAAAAAGTTTGAAAAATTAATGTTAACTGATACTGCGGCTTATAATCCAGTGCGGCTTTTGGTCGTGAAAATACGGTATATATCTCATGAAGCAAACAACCTCTTGAAAAAAGCATTTATCAAAAGCAGAAGGTCATTATACAAGGTCAGTGCAGAGAAAGTCAGAGGTGTCTAATCTTGGCAACTTTAAGACTAGTGGACTTCAATTCCCAAAATTCTCCAGTCAGTGTGGCTGGCTAGGGAACTCTGGGAATTGACGTCCATGGGTCTTAAAGTTGCCACGGTTGTACACACCTGGTTTAAGTGTTTCCTCCAAGAGTTTCAGTGACTTTTAACTTCTTCCTGTAAAAGTTTAGAATTGCTCCTTTCAAGATTTAGAATCAAATGAAATAGTGCCATGAGGCACTCCTTTCATTGTGAAATATTGTGAAATATAGTGTACTGCTTTTAAATTTTCCCAAAGCATTGGGCATGATTAGCACCCCTTGGATGAGAGGACTGTCCCCTCACAGAAGCCAAAGGGTTCTGTCACACTTTTCTTCACTGGATTTGCAATAGTTGCTAACCGAGAATTTAGCACAGCCTGTATAAATCTCACCTTTTTGCAAAGGCAGGGACATAGCAAAAGTTGGGTTTCTCTGAAATGGAATTGCAAAAGACTAAAAACAGCATAAGCAAGCATTTTCTTCTGCACACAGATGTGCACAAGAGGAAAAGAACCATGTGACAGGATGGGATGAATATTTAACTACCCTCCAAAAACTGCCAGGAAATTGCAGGGGTATATTAAGAATAGTGGGAGCCCAGGCATTTTTGGAGAGTGGGGTGGTATATGATCAAAGTCAGTATCAAGTTCAAAAAATAGTTAATGCACCCTGTGAAATGGATTTATCTGCTGCTGAATCAGAGTGACTATATGCAGATACCAAGCAATTCACTATTCCAATTAGCCTATTTATCTCACTATCAGTAGTTTGCAAAAGTACTTGGGCTGTGTTATCTGATGTGAATAAAGTTAAATCTACACTACTTTATGAAGTTTGAAAATTACTTTTAAAGTAATTAAAGTACTTTAATCTATAGAGAAAACATGTTACTAGAATATTGGGAAAAGTGATAGGCAGTAAGATAAATAAGCAATTGCAACATCCTATCAGATTCTCAATTTTTAGATTATTCTCCTGAAAATAAGGTACAACTTTAAAACTTCCAAATATGCTTGAAGTGGGAGAACATTTTGCAAAAAAAAAAAAAAGGTTTGATCCTGGAATATTTTATGGCTCTCATCCCTCTTGTCTTTAAATTGGAGAAATACAGCAGATGAAAAGGGTTCATCCATCTACATGAATCGGTTCTGTGTATTCTTAGATTGTATTGTGATTTCATGTGAAATCACATGAAGTAGGAGTGAGCATCCCTTTGAGATGGAAGGCAAGGAGACCCTATAGAGCATGACAAAGTGTAGTATAGCCCCTCTCTTTTCTTGTGGTTTGTTGGAGTGATGTTTAGGAAGGCAGACAGATGCTGCTCATAAGCACCTTATACTTCCAATGCTCATATTTGCCTTGTATGGTTGAACTGCTGAACAGATCTAATAAGCAGCCCCAGAAAGTCCATGTCATACGAGAGGAGAAAATAATCACTCCAGGCAGCACTGTCACAGAGAAAAGAGATTAAAACAAAATCTGGAATTGGAGCCCATAAGGAGCACATGCCACATGACACCTATGGCTCAACCAGCAGGTTGGAAGGAGTGGCAGATTGAGTCCCTGTTGTGGCCATCAGGATTGCCCTTTGTTTCTCCAGCTGCTGCCAACCAGCAAGTCATGGAAGGCTTTTGCTGCTTCAGCACCTACTGTTTAATTTTAAATATTACTTGGCATTGCAAAAAAAGCAGCTGGCATTCTCTTGAAGTCTCCCTTACAGGCTCAACCCACAGTTCACTTGCTATCTAGTTTTAAATTTTGCAATGGCATTTGCTTCTTTTGCACCAAAGTCACTGAAATACAGCACTTTCTGGTCTTCTAGCCTTTGCAGTGGCTCATCTGGAAAAGAACTCTTTTCTCCAAGAGGCATTGAGGGGCAAGGTTACCATAGAAATTATTATATCACCCTATTGAGACAAATAATCTGTAAGGCTTGTTTTTTTTTTAAGATAGAAGGAGAGAGCTGGCATCTAGGTAACAATTTTAAAAGCAGATGGAGAGGTAGATGTGAAAGGTAAATGTTGCAGTAGAGAAAATCTTAAGTAGCAATATGGTTACACCAAACTCAGTAAATGTTTATTTATTAATAAAACATCAGTGATTAGACTAAAGCTGAATTAAAAGCTTCGTCCCTACTTTATATTCTGGTTATATCAATATTGTAATTTAAAATGTGTTGCTGGGTAAATCTTCCCATTTTCTAAGTAGTCAGATGCTGAAAACAAAAACAAAAAAGACAATAGTTTAAAAATGGATTTTAAAAAATTACAGGGTTAGTAGGCCTTGCACTTTATGCCCCGCCCCTTCAAGCTTTCAGGGGATTTGATCAGTGATATCATGATGATATGAACAACTGAACTGAATTGTAGCCTTTGAGGCATTTGGGGAGGGCAGTGAAATATATGGTCATCATTTTGTCCTGGTTTGGTCATTTGGAACCTGACCCTTTAAAGGCCTTAACAGCAAGCTTCTTTCCCCCCTCATCTGTCGCTCCCAAAGGGGACAAAAAGAATCAGCTTGATTGTATAGAGAGAAGAAGAATATAGTGAAGTGAGTAACTTAAATTTCTGCAAAACTTTAGTCACCAAATTTGTCATCCCTAAAAAAACTAAAAATATGCTATAGAAATCGGCCCTGGCCACTCTGAGGGGCTCACAAAGATTCTAGGAACTCTATATGTGGTGTAAGTTGCTCCCAGCTGATCTAGATCCATGTATCAATCTATATTTTACATTTTCACAGGTGTCCCTTCTGCATTTATTCTACAAACCGTCCAGCAGCAATGGAATGCCATTTGAAAACCCACTACAAAATGGAGTACAAGTGCCGGATCTGCCAAGCAGTGAAAGCCAATCAGCTCGAGCTGGAAATGCACGTTCGAGAGCATCGCCTTGGCAACCACTACAAGTGTGATCAGTGTGGCTATCTTTCAAAGACTGCCAACAAGCTGATAGAGCATGTGCGTGTGCATACAGGAGAACGCCCTTTTCACTGTGACCAGTGCAGCTACAGCTGCAAACGCAAAGACAATCTCAACCTGCACAAGAAACTCAAGCATGCGCCCCGGCAAACCTTCAGCTGCGAAGAGTGCCTCTTCAAGACCACCCACCCATTTGTCTTCAGTCGCCATGTGAAGAAACATCAAAATGGAGACTGCTCTGAAGAGGAAAAAAGGGGTCAGGGTGTGAATTCCACAGAAGCCAGCCCCCTGCTCATGGCCAACAGTTCCCGCAGCCTCTTGTCCCCTCTCTCAGTCATGTCAGCCTCCCATGCTCTACAGACAGTGGCCATGTCAGCCGCTCAAAGTGGCGGGACAGAGCCAAATCTGGCGTTGAGGGCCTTGAGCATAAACGGCACTTCCCTGTGCTTTGATAAATATCGGAACTCTGAGTTTGCCCACCTCATTCCCTTGACCATGTTTTTCCCCAAAAACCACTTTGAAATAACATTCCATTCACCTCAACCACAGACCCTATGCTTGGATGACACTTCGCCGAAGCACTCCTTCCTTGCCTATCTCGGACTAACAGAAAGACCAGAAGCTCTCTAGGACAGCCTCCTCTGTACCAAAAATCCTCCACACCGCACCCCTGACACGCCCCCCAGACTCCAAGCAGGTTTTATTTCAAACCATAGATCCAAGAGTTTGGCTGCCCAACCAATTGTACAATTTATCGTTAGTGGTAAGTTACAGCCAAGAAAATGGCGCCACTCGTCTCCTTAATACATGGCCATGAAGGCTGCTTCGTTAAACCTTAGGACAGACGACCTCCTGCATATTTCTTCAGAGGCATGTTTCCGTACTCTCATCTACCTGAGAAACATTTTTGTCTCTTTTAAGCTGAACAAGAGTGTCCTTAATGGCAGTCAGCACTAGCTAAGATGACCCTTTGATGCATTTGACTTTGGGTTATGAATCTGAGCATTTCTAAAAAAAAAGAGTCTGTGTGCCATGGCATTGCTTTTGCACATCGTTTTGTACTGGCTTATTTAATATGAACTTAAGAAGCTGCCTTATGCTGCATCGACCCCAGTTTTGTCTGTTTATGATTGACACCAGTTCTCCAGGATAGAAGTCATTTCTAGCAGCTGCTTCCTGAGATTTCTTAACCAAACATGCTGGTGGCTGAATCTGGGATCTTTATACATACAAAGCATGTGCTCTACCACTGAGCTGTAGCCCCACCCCTGTGAAACATTGCAGTCGTCCAGGCTTGCTCATCTTGCCTGCTTCTCTTTTACTGCTCAGTTATGGAATGTAAGAACAGCAATCAAGAAGAAACTAGCATGGCAGTCAGTCCTGCTGGGAATTTGCTATGTTAATCGCAGGCTAGGTTAGTCTCACATCTTAGAGTTTGATGATCAGGGCAAAAGCAGGAGAGGGGAAATTACTTTAGCCTTGCAAGATGATGCTATTTCAGATAGTAACTTTTTTCTTACATGGAGATATTCTGTATGGCCAGTGCATGTACACATGTAATATGAAGGGCTTTTCTCTGTGTACACATTTGGATAGCCAAGTTTTCATACCTGCTGCTCCGTGGATTTATTCATGTTCTGACCCTTCCCAGCAAAGAAAACACTCCTATTACCCTTGAAATAATACAGTCAATGTGATTATCTCTATGAAGGAAAAAAGATAATGTTTAAAGCAGTCCTGAATACATAACAGTGATGTATGAGAAGGCAGCTAGATTTATAAACAACAAGTGTGTTGCATACGTGCCCCTAATTTGATTGTTTGGTTACATTCATGTGACTTGGTCCTTTTTAAAAAATACTTTTGGATACAAATACCCAAGAACAAGGTACATATGATAAGGCATTTGTTTTAGACTGGACATAACACATTACATTTAAATTGCTGCTTTCCTTGGTCAGATAACTGGAGGCAGAAACCTGATCATTTTGCCAACTCGCTTCTTCTAGTCAACAAAGAAAAATATCTTGATTCGAAAATATGTGCACTATTCAAATTTGACCAAGGCGACTACAGAAAAATAGAGCAAACAGCCCTCAGGCCACAAAATCACATCTACACATTCTCAGTTGGTCTGAATGCAGATTGTGAGGGCAAGGATGCACATTTAGAAATAATTAAATCCAAAAGAAGGCATTTTAAAAAGGAAGGATTTTTTAAATTCTGGGCATTAGGGCTCAGACTAAATAAAGGCAGGTTTTGCACAGTGGTTGAGTCTTGCACTAGTATGTTTCTCACTAGCAAAAAAAAGTAAAAGAAACATATCAAAGATAATGTTTCTTTTTTTAACTGAAAAATATCATGTACATTTGAAAAGTAAGTGCAAGTTCTTTCAAATGGAAGGAGAAAAAGGTGCTGTTTAATTATAGAATTCTCTTTTATATGTCCAACTATTCAGCTATACTGGCAACTTTGTGTTCTATCCCTTTCACGTTATTTGTATTCCTTTATAATATTTGCTAAGGCTTACTCAAGTATACTCTTCTAGGAAAGTAACTTTATATTTTCTTAAGGCTCTTATTTTTAGTCATTAAAATGACATAAATATTGCACTTTATTGCAGTAGAAGCAAATGTTGCATTCCTAGTGGTTGATCTAAAATATTAACATTTCCTAAGATTTAAAAAAAATGCCCATGCACTGAACATTTATTATAAATCACTATCATAAATGTTTTCCCCACTAAAGAAATATGAGGGAGGGGAGTGTTCAAAGTTCTTACTATAGAGAACAAAGAAGGAGAAAACCTAAATACTAGCCATTGATAACACTGAATTAACATAATAAGCATAGTCAAAATAATGAAAGTTCATGAAGAGGTTTAATCAATGTAGGGCCTTATCTGGCTGATTTACGGTAAAATAAGTTATTGTTTTAAATCTCCTAAGAAAAGTTTTGGGACCCTGTTTATTGCACTAAATTCTGATAAAAAATACTTTCAGAAATTTTGGGAACTATTCATCAAAAGGATGATTAAGATAAAGTTGATGTAATGTGATGAACTAACTGTGGCATTGCAATACTATGCAATAGTCAGCATCACTTCTTGGAGCCTTCCCCAGCCATTCATTGTGCTGGCAGAGGCTGCTTCGTTGTGGAAACCCAATGCACCCGGAAGACACAAAATAGAGGAAGGCTGAGTTTCTGATCCTGTTCCCACTATATGATTAACCTCATCCATGTGCCAAATTATAGTCACCATCCATCGTGTGCAAGCAACAATCAAGGATGGATTTGTCCATGGGATGGGAGCTAATATTTTAAATTGGGCCCCTGTTTCCTTTTTTTCACCTTACATCAGAGTGAAAAATTAAATTCAGAGAAGGGTATTTTTATCCATTTCCTACTTGTGCTTCCCCCCCCTCTCCCCGCCTTGCAGTCACGAGATTGGAAACAAAATCAGCCATATAGATGGAATGTCTAGGGGAAAAAAACCTTCATGGGCCTCTCCAGAATTTCATCCTACCCTAGGCAAGATCAATGTTAAGCCCATGGCCAGTGGCAACATGGCTAACCAGACGGATTTAATTTATTCTTTGTGAAATTATTTATGGCTAGTTCTAAGTCCCTCGTGTCCGGTTGCTATCTCAGTTAACCCATAGGTTAACCCTCTTGGCCAGATAAGTGTCATGGGGAAACGGTCATTAATAACCCCCTCCTTTACTTGTTTCCAGCGATGCACATCTTGGGGAATAGGGCTCCTGCGCACCCTAACAACCTCATGACTCCTGAAGCCGGGCAGAAGAAGTCTAGTAAAGAATGGGATGTGATCTGGAATGTGAAAGCTACCTAGTACTCTGTCATATGGGAGTAGAGCAGTGGCAGATCCATCTGTACAACTGTAATGGTGTTCTAATAGTGCAGGTGGGATTTTGCAATAAACAAATGATCTGGCCAATTTCTCTTCCCCAGAATGTGGCTGCAACAGCATTGCCAAATAGTGAACAAGAGTTTGAGCTCAATTATCTAATCCGACCTCCCCCAACCCAGTACCTTCCATGCATGTTGGGTTACAGCTTTCTTCCATCCCAGACTGTGTACTTTGGCCGTGATTAAAGTTTATGCATCAGTTCATGTGGACGGTACCAGACTGGAGCAACCTAAGCTCTGGAGGTTTCAGGAACTTGTTTTGGGAGTAATCTTGAAGCAATTATTCAGCTGCAGTTGCCATTAAATTATAAGCTTCATAAATCTCTTTGACTGATGATTTTGGAAGAAATAAAGTTAATGCCATGCTCATTAGGGAGCATAATAATTTAGAATGCTAAAAATTTGTGACAAAAAATATATATGGAGATTTCTTCCTACAAGTGGCTACTGCAGTTAACTACATATATTCAAGGTGTTTTAAGATAACTTCCAAACAACGAATGACCCTATGAAAAAGATAAAATATAATATTGTGTCAGCAAGTAAGCTACGCATGCATAGGAATGTTATAAACATTTTTTCTGTAAACCAAATAGTGCAATATACATAGGGGATTTCAAGGAATGAAAGTATTACGATGCTATGAGCAATTTAATGCCTTGGGTTTAACCAGTTTCCTTTTGTATTTGTTTGTCATGGTAATGCTTAATGTAATTGGGCAGCTTTATTTAGCACTTTGACCACTGATTATTTCTGGAAAGTTAATTATGCATTGTTTCTGTTTAAGAGGGGAAAAAAGAATTTGAGGTGTTTTTATTTTTTTAAGAAAAAATATACAGTATTTATCAAAGCCCTTGCATACCCAAGAATTGGTTTGCTGTTTGACGCTAAAACTAGGAATGCTCACTAATATACCTTTTGCTTGTTAAAAAAAACTTAATGTTTGTATCAACAGTTCACTTTGTACCTGTTTTTCCCCACTATGCACTCCTTAAAATAGGCTGGCTTCTTGTTTTCAATTGGTTAGATTTTCAGCACCTTTCTTGCTTTCCCTTTTTCTTTTAACTTGCTGTATCATATTCAAATATCACACTGTCAAGGTTTGTGTACATTAATGGAAATTTGTAATGTATAAAGCTTTTTTTGCATTATAAGGCTGTACAGGGTCATTTTGACAGTAATTAGTATATTTCTCTGCATCTTACGTTGCATTGCCAATTTCTAGTGTATCCAGTTTGGAAGTATATATACTCAAATTAAAGCAAAGTTGTCTATACTCTGCCACCAGCTTTGTTTTTCTTTCAGCGTTGTTTTATTATTTACATGTATAGCGACTGATTCTACATTCCATAATAAAGTTGTGCTTATGCTTCCAACTCCTTAGTTCAGATCAAAGTAGATTAATGAAGGCTGTTGCTGTCTTTTTTCTGTCATTTTTTGATTTTATGCACTATTTAATCTATAAAGGCCTGTTGTTTGAATGTCACTGGGCATCAGAGGAGATCTGAGGGTGGTCAGAATGGAGCTATAGATTATCTTGTAACTAAATGATCAATGTTGCCTGCTGATACTTCTTTTGGCACCTGTCCACTAAGCTCTGTTCTCCACCTGAATATATAATACAGAGTTTCTTTAATATTTTTTAAAATTAAAAGGTATAATATAATGTATGGGAAGCTAGAATGCTGCAAAAGAAACTGCCAAACTCCAAACAACCTTTATTTAAAAAAAAAAAATCCTAGCCCTGATGCATTCTTAGAAAATAAAAATAGTAATATAGTATTTTACTAGAAAAAAAAACTCACCTGCCCAAGAGTACAGGATGGTAGGGAAACAAACTAACCAGTTTGCTGTATGGTGAAGGTAAATGGTGTGATTGACTACACCCATAATGTCTGTCATTGGCTGAGAATGTTCCTAGAAAATATCCCAAATTCAAAATGTGTCTGAAAGAAACTCTGAATTTAGGATCACCTGACTTCACATTTTACATATTTTTTGTATATGTCATTTTATTTAGGATGCAATCCTGCAAGAATGTTCCTTAAAGATGACTGGAGGGCTTATTTCTGTAAGCCTATGGCTGTATAATACAGATACTGTAGAATCTCCTTTTTTTCTTGGGTTTCCATGAAATAGGGGGTGTAGTGAATGTGGAGAAATTCTTCTGCAAGAGTTTAGTTCCTGCAACAATAAATTGAACATTGACTTTATCCTTATTACAAAGGGAACACACAGTTGGAAAAATCAAGCACCAAAAACCCATTCAGGAGGTAGCTTTCCCCCGAATAATTCCCCGAAAAGGAGAAGACAGCTTTTATCTTTTCTGAAGCTGCTGGGAGTTGTAGTTCAACATAATCTGAAACTAGAAGTTCCTCTCTCCTGATCTGAATCCTACAAGATTATATTTTTCTGAGATATTTTTGCTAAAAGATTCCATTGGTAGAATAAAAGCAGTAAGAATAAATGCGCATTCTTGTGTGATGACTTGCTAGATTTTTTTTTAATCAACTCTATTAACCCTAATTGTAGCTATCAAGATTTGGTACATAGGAAAAGATGGTTTTAATGATTCATATTTTTTCTGTTAGTTTAGATTTAAAAACAAAAACCTGATGAAATCTTGAAAGCTTTATGTATATCTAAACAGTGTAAGGGCAAGAGATCTGTCATTAACCCTGCAGAATAGATAACACTAAGAATGAGTCTGATGTGATCTGAAAATTATACTTTATTGGATATTAACTCCAGCAGTCCAAAAGCTGAGGTAATTTTAAAATCTAATTTGCCTACATGATTTCCATGAACTATGGAGGCATTGCTAGCTTATAAACTTGAGATTCTGGAGACCTGACAAAGGTTGGTGGTAAATTCTGTCTAGCTTGTTGATGGATATTTGACTTTAGAATGTTATTACACCATTCTTATTTCATACATATATGCGGTGGGGGAGGATGTCACTAAAGCATAGATCCTCAAATTACAGCCCACCAATGCAAAGTATCCAACCCACGGAGTGGTGGGATTCAGCCTGTCCCCTCCCCATCAGCCTAATCTTCCAGTGAGCATCCATTGCAGCTGCACTTCTAGTTAGTTATTTCACCGGTTGAGCTGTACTTCTGATCACACTGCTGCTGCGCCGAAGGGTGCAGGGGAGGTCCAGCTGACTGTGGGGTGATCTCGCCTATGCAATCATGTGATCCAGGGCTGGTGGGTGAGTAGGAGAGGGGCTGCTGCTGGCTTGAAAAGCAGCTCTACCGCCAGCTTGTAAAGTAGTGCTTTAAAAGTCTTTAAAAACAGCCTTTCGGGATATTTTTCGCAGCCATATGATCCAGGGCCAGTGGGTAAGTAGGGGAGAGGCAAGTACAGCAAGGACAAAGGCAAAATGGACTGCTAAATTGGCCACACCCACTCAATCACATGGCCACCTAGCCATGCCCACCCAGCCGGTCAGCCCCCCAACAGTCTGAGGGACTGTGAATCGGCCCTTTGTTTAAAAAGTTTGAGGACCCCTGCACTAAAGCTACAGTGCCTGCCCTATGGACTGTTGAGTTTTACGGTTTCTAAAAGTGTATTGATCCTGTCAATGGAATCAATTTCTACTTTGTCTAAATATGCGTCCCTGGGGTTATTCAGCATGGTAGCATGAAAATGCTGATATCCAATGCAGGAGCCAACAGAAAAGTCTTGCTAGCTTATTGAAAGGGCTGGCCACACTTCCCAAAGCAATTATGCCTTAGCTAGAAAACAGAATAGGAGTGGAATGGGAAGTGCCTTCTTTGGCACCAGTGGCGGGCAAGAGAAGACATGGGGTGTCCATGGAGACTGAAATGTTTATTCTGTGGGATTAGGCATTTGGCACCAAAGGAGCTGTTCCTTCTCATTTCTCTCCTGCCTTCTGCCCTCTGCTCCCTGCTTCTCATGCCATCCATGGCTAAAGGAGGAGTGGGAAAAAGTGACCTGTTTCCCTCTTTTCTCTCCACCTCTTTTCTTTAGACAAGAAGAGAAAAAGAAAAGCGGGTTTTAATGGTTTTTAACTGTTTGTATTGCTTGTATAATCTTTCTTGATGGCAATAACTGGCCTCATCTCCATGCAGAACTAAAGCATAGGGTTGATGCTAAACACTTTTAAGGGAAAACAAAGTAGTGAGAGAATTTTTGCATGCTGATATAGAGCTCTGAATTGCACGGGGAGTGATAGGACACTATAATAGAAGTAGACAATTGAACAAGTACCCTTGCATTAATTTCCTTTTGGATCTTAAAACAATGCATTGGGGCCAATAAATCTTAAATATTTGTCCCTTTTTATTCCTTTATTTCTAACTTATGTCTGACATCATTATCATGCAGATTTTTTCCTTATTCATGCAATCCATCTAACTTTGTGAATACAGTTTGAAACCTGATTTGCATTTGAGCAACACAGGGATTATAAAGTAAGAGATTGATACTTGCAAGAACCCATGCAATATATGAAGCTCCCTTCTGAATATTTTATCTTGTCTCTCATGAAATCAGGAGTTGCATACACTTCAATCTCACTTATGGGTAAGTGGATTTTTGCTTGCTTTTATGAGATGCATCTCTCACAAGTCCTCTTTTTTTTCTCCTGTGTGCTGCTTGGGGAATCCAAGCATGGGTTAACTTTGTCCATTAGCCTAGAGACTGAGTTATGTAAATTGGTGACCACGCCTCCTCTGACTGGATGGGTCAGTTTTTTTTAACTCAGTCCAGCCAGAAGAGACGTATACCAATTTTTCTCCAGACTAC